GACAGTTAAAGTGGCCTTAATTTGCACTATTTCTGGCAGTCTGTAAAGCCCCTAAGTTACCTCTAGCTCATAGGTATAAAGTACTCAGAGATGAATTCTTTGTTAAATCAAACAGGAGCTTAGAGGAACATGGACCTGTCCAGGACTTTTTATTGTATAAGAGCTGCCTACAAAGCATTACTTCCCACCGGAGATGATGAGACTTGTAGTGTCTACCCCATTTTCTCACCACAAAACATGGACTTGCATCTCCGGCTTTTTCTTCTTTTCAACTACATCAAGTTTCTTGGGGGGGAAGGCAGGGAAGCCATGGTTTGCAGGCCCAGGGGTGACACAGCCCTGTTTATACTAGGCAGTGAGCACAGTTCAATTCTCCCTGATCTTTCATACAACATTTTAAATGAATTTATGAAATTATTGTTCCTTGAATATCATTTACAGACCCTCTTCTCTCTGGGCTAATTTCAGGACAATGACAACTAGATTCAAAAAGAAGTCTAATAGTAACAGAAAGATAAAGTGACACATTTAAGAAATTTGTTCTAGTGATTATCTGCCAAAATCTGAAATGCCCTTCCCATGATTTTGTAAAACTAAAGAAAAAAAAGCACAGTCAAGTTTGTAAGGCCACATTGGCTCTATATTAAATATAACATTCCATTTCACATGACTGTATAGATTTATGATTGCATACAGAACATTGAGTATATTTTTCTTCTTTCACCAACTTGGGATAAGAAGTTGATTTCAGTGATGTGCCTTATTTCACTCTTTTATGGATTTATTAACCTTTCAGAGATCTAAAAGTGGCCTTTAATTTTCTCACTTAGTCTGCATAAGTGTTCACAGATGTTTGATTTTATATGCATGCACACAAAACATTTTAAATATATTTCATGCTGCTAATCTTGTGAGGTGACTCAACTCTCTATTTGGGTAACCCAGAAACTCATATTTTCTCCTGGTTCTGCTTTAGATGTTAATGATATCTTTAAGAACAGATAATGTATAGTGCTCATATCTCAATTCTTTGGCCTAGTCACTTGTAACACAAGGCACACAGTGATGAGAAAACCATTTGCAAATATATGAATCACTAACCAAACCCAAAACAGGTAGGTTCAGAAGTGAAGGGAAAGCCTTATGAGGAGAATACTGGATGTGGCAGGATTTGTTGCAGTTGGTACTTCTGTATAAAATTGGCTCTGTGTTGTTGCTTGTGCCAAAATCAGAAATTTATTTTTTGGTTTTCAAATATTTTTATTACAGGAATTTCCAGTACAATAAAACTACAACTACATCAGATAAAAAAAACCTCATAAAATATAGAATAACATAAAATTACAGAAGGAACTAGAAAAATAACAAATAGAAAAAAAAGACAAATAAAAAGGAAAAAGAGAAGAAAAAAGATAGAAAGAAAGAAAGAAAGAAAGAAAGAAAGAATTTGACTTCCAACTTTTCTACCAATGATTATATATGTTTCTGTGTGGGAAACATGGTTTTGAACAGAAAAAGGAAAATCTATGTGGAAGAATTATCTTAAGCAAGTTTCTTAAAAGTGCTTAAAGTGTTTTCCAAATGTGGTGGGTACAAACATAACCAGATGTGGGGGTGTAGCACACTGTAGACACAAGACAATAAATTTGATAATCTTTAAAAGAAGATTATATGGATAATCAATGAGAAAAGGGGAAATGAAACTGCAAAAATTGAAATATTGTTTGGACTAACAATGAAATATATGCTTATGTTAAAAAAAAAAAAAGCTATTCCAAAGGAATATTTCTGATAACTTTAGCTACATGGCTGGATGCAGTTAATTCAATACACAACTACCTGAACAGTGAGGAAGAGTTCCACTCCAGTGGCTGTTTTCTTGGCACACTCTACTAGAATTTCCTATGAGAGTTCGGCTTCCTTCACAAGAGTAGTGAACTGTGGATCCATATGTAAATTTGTCTCCTGATAGAACTGCATTGGTTGGAATTCCAGGGTGCCCACAAGATATTGCTGCCATAGGAAAGAAAATGAATTAACATCATAGTCACCCACCTTCATTAAAAAAATAGTTTATAAATTTTTACAGCTCTGAAGTTTGCTTCATGTTCTGTTATTGCATAGCCTGAATCATGAAATGGAAAGGAGATGAGACTACCAATTAAGTTAAGCAGCTATTTATTATTTCCATTTTGTGGTTTTCATTACTGCTTATTTCTCCTGATCATCTTCATTAGAATAACCCTTCATCCTTCATATTTATTGTTGTAGCTTTTATCAACCAGGTCTTTCAGTGGGTCAAATGCAGAAGCAACCAGGCATTACTTGAACAATCAAGCTTTGAACAAGCAAGCTACCTGTCCAAGGTTTGTTATTGTGGTTGGGTGCTTTCAAATAGTTTCCAATATATGGCAACCCTAAGGTGAACCTATCCTAGGGTTTTCTTGGCAAACTTTGTTTAGAGATGTGTTACTTTTGCCTTCCTCTGAGGTTGAGAGAATGCAACTTGCTCAACGTCACCCAGTGAGTTTCCATGGCTGAGTGGGGATTTGAACCCTGATCATCAGAGTTATAGTCCAAGGTTCAAACCACTATACCATACTGGCTTAGGTTTATCCACCAACAAATTTAGTTCTTAGTGAAATGTTTTGAAAATAATCAGACATTAAATTCTTGGGATGGGGGGGGGATGGTAAACTGATTTTGAAACGGTTTTAGCATTTCAACATATAAGTGATTTGACAATAGAAATTAAAAAAACAACATATTCATGTGAGTCTTGCCCAGAAGGAAATTACCTGAAGCTAATCCTAGTCCTTTAGCAGCATAGCTTCCAAGACATTTGCTTTCAGTTTAGCTTCTTTTATACCTGTAACGTACATGACATTTCCCCTCTTGGCTTCTTTTGAATTCTAGTTCCTGAACTTATTAACTACTTTCTTGCCAGATCCACTTATCATCAAGATTTCAATGCTGCCTTATTAGCTCTTATCTAGTCAGCTGTAATATTTTATTGATTTTTTTATTTTTTATTTTTTATTTTTTTGCTATGCTTTTGGTTTCCCTGGTAAATAGCTTTATTCTATGCCACCATTAACCTTCAGTTTGTCAGGCTGACCTATTTTACCTTCCATGATCTTTTGAATCTGCTTTCAAGGACAGCCTCTAGACCCCAGATAATCCAATGTCTAAATTGAAAATGACCAATGTAGACTAAGAAGAAAAACAAAATGGCTGAACATTTTAAGTCCTTCTTATGCGCAGGAAATATAGGTGCTGTTACTGAATTTTCGGTGGTGCTTATTTCTCATAAACTTGAAAGTATAAATACATAAATATCTCTATATCTCTATATATAAATAGTCAAATATATGCAATGGGATGTAATTGTGATTTTCTTTAATATGATTCATAATGGGACTAAATCACTATTCCCGCTAAGAATGATAATTTTAAAAATCAAACCAGCCTACTATATTCTACATGGAAATCCAACAAAGCACTATGAAAAAATATAAAATCAACACAAGTCAGGTATGAGCATAAGTAAATCAGCTAGAGCTCATGACTAAATGAGAAAATGGGAAGTGTATCAGTGGCCTGCTTCCAGAAACGTTGGTACTCTGCTAAGGTGTTAACTGAGAAATCCTTTTAATGCTTGTATTGTGTCCTTTGATGGTTCCTGATTAAATTTCTTTCTCTATTAAGACAAACTACAAGTAACCTCTAATAATATGTAGGTGGATTTCCACTCATGCAGTAGAATTTCACTTCCACTTCTCCTTGTGCACTAACTGCAAAATCTGTTCTGGAGGGGGCGTGTCCCTAAATCCCCCAGTCCTGATCTAGAGACATACGGGGATATAGGAATAAGAGCAATCTTAACCAATGATATCAATGTGCCAATGATATATGTGCAAAAGCAACTGCTTACGTACATTTCTGTGACAATGGACGTTCCTCCTCTTCTGATTAAAAAATAATAATCATGAATGAATGTTAATTCATCTTGTTGGATACTTACGCAAACATTTGGGCAATGATCTATCCCACAGACCATTAGCTTTACAGGTCAGAGCAGAAGATCCTAGAAGATAAAACCCTTTTTTGCAGTGGTACACCACACTGATTCCATACTTGAAAGATTCAGGGAAATTCTGCTGTCCATGACGAACCGCATTTTCCACAAAGCCTGGATCTGAACAGTTCACCACTACAAGTCAAAGATAAGATTTCTCACTAGTGAAGACAGGAAAAAATTATAGGCAAACCTCTCTAATAAACAACATGGCACTCACACTCAAATCACAAAACAGCCAGAAATTATACCCAGTAATTAAAACCATTTGCTTAAAGTTTCTATTATCAATCACTGAGGAACTTCGGCTTTCAACAATAATTAACAACATATACACAAATGTCACAATTTCTATTACATGGTCACTGCTGCATATTTATTTAGTACTGACAAAGTAATGAGAATTAAAAAAAACATGGAGAAGTGATATGATACCTTATAAGGCACATATGAATGAATAAAACTAGGGTTAGATGTAGAGCAGTGGGAAGAAAATATGAGAAAAGGAAGGCCAAAATATATTGTGCTTTTTTTTTTGAGAAAAACAATTTCAGGCATATATGACAGAGATGCATAATAGAGAGAGAGTTGGTAAGTGGAGGAGTAGTAGAGAGCACCTGTGAATACATGAACAAGCACATAGAAAAAAGGAAGAATGGGGAGGCATGACAGAAGAAACAAGCTGGCATGTAAAAATGTTATAAATATCAATGATAATAAAATACAAGTACACACTTGAGCCTCATTGATTTCAATTAGATTTAAGTTTATGTAACTACACACTCAATTGCATACAAAGACTAGAAGCTTATAAAAGAAATAAGAGACCAACAGTTACTTCAGTCCTCCTAGAAACCATGTATCCAGATGATTAAAAGTCAAGGGGAGCAGAGGTCAGTACAAAGCTATCTGGACACACATTCACTGTGTCACTGAGCAACAATCCTACAGATGTAAAGGGGAAACCACAGTAACAGCCAAATAATGTGTTAGGAGGAGATAAATTTTTAATAAATAAATAAATCTGAGCCATCTTTAAAAAAGAGAATTTAAATCCTAGAAACGCTGCAAATCCAGGCACTGACAATCACAACTGAGAGATAGGTTAAGGGCTGAGATTTGTTTCACAATTTCTTCTCTCTATGAAGAAGATCATAGCACTTCACCTTTTCAGTTAGTAATTCAACAATGCTCTAGAGCATTTCTCATAAAATGTTTCTGGCTTGCCATCAAGAAAGAAAAGACTCTAACTCCAATGTTCATTCCAATATCTTCTCATTCTTTTTTGGTCTTCCTTGGTTTTCAGTGAAAGAACATTTTTAGCCATACAAACACTTTCAAATACTGCAAAATATTATTACTGGCAATGTGTTGTAAAATGATTCCATTACAAGAAATAAAATATTCTCCCTAAAGCACTTCCGTAGCTTAGAGTTAGTTCAACAAAGATATTGGATTTACTGTTGTACAAATGACTTGCTACAACTATATGTTTTCTATCACACATAAAATAAATTTAGAATGCAGCTATAAATAATGGGGAGGGGTCTTTTTGTCTGAATTTTGAGGTAATGACTACATTTAGCATGCTTTCTCTAGATGAAGAGGTAATTTTACAGTAAGCAAAGGCTATTGTGTTTCAGAATGATCTTCTGCACTAAATCTACACAGAAGCAATTTGAACTGAATTATCTAGGAAAAAAGGAGAACAATGGAAGCACTTATCTCTGAGGGAATGGCATATTCAGAATATATATTAAATTTGTCTGCCTGATATACTACTCCCATTCTCCTGACACTAGGATCTGTGTAGCTAACCAATTCATGTATGGGTAAAGACTCTCTATTAAGTAGTGTGCAAAAAAAATCATTACACCATGCAGTCCGTCTTTAAAGAACTTTGGCAAAAGGCTCATCACACCTCCACCCATGCATCAAGGTCTTACTATGCTATCCCTTCTGTAAAGAAGTGTCTAGGAAGCTATAAGATGTAGGGGATTCCCAGTGCTGCAAGAGTCTCCTAAGCAACTCTACATACACCCTTAGAAAATTGATGGGATAAGCATTCTTTCGATGGACTTTTATCTGTTTTAACTTTTACAAGCCACTTTGAAAAGTGTAGTGGAAAGGTGGGATAAATAAATAAAACAGTAATACATGGGTGTAGTCATTTGAGTGTTAGACTATCAACTCTGAAAACCAGGGTTTGAATCCCTGTTCAGCCATGGAAACCCACTGGGTGACCCTCGACAAGTCACACTCTCTTAGTGTCAGAGGAAGGCAAAGGCAAAACCACCTCTGAAGAAATCATGCCAAGAAAACCCTGTGATTGGTTTGAGGGGCACCATAAGTCAGAAACTACTGGAAGGGTCACAACAACAGAAGCTTAAATTTGATTTACAGATACTGTGGGTAAGTGAACACTTGACTTTGCAGTCCTTGTCTTGGACTTTATAATGGATTTTTCTTTAAGAGCTGAATGGCATGCAGTGCTCCTTTGAATCGACAAGCTTCTGATCTGCGGTTTTAACTGGCCATGGATTGCCATGCCCAATATTATTCATTGGCTTTGATGTGGAATAATGGAATAATATGGGACACAATTGTACAGGTGTTTTGCCATCCATGGGGACCCCCAGAACTGAACCCTCACTGATATGGAGGGCCCACTGTATTATGCTTTTATAACTTTGAATTGTGACATTACAACTTTGAAAATCATAATAATAATGATAATGATAATAATAATAATAATAATACCTTCAAAATATCACAAGGGTGAAAATAGCTGCAAAAAATGTAGTCCCCTTTCTTGAAGGTGTGGTTCTTCAAGTGATCATCTGAATACTCATATATCTTGTACCTGAACAGATCCCTGTCCATACCAATCTAAAGCTGAATGTCTGGGTAGGAATCCCATGTTCAACATGAATGCCTCAATGGCATTTCTCTTCCTGTTTAATTCAAGGACTCTCAGAACAGAAGGTACAGAACAACCACAGGAAGCAATTAATATGAATTAAAGAGTGGACTGTGTGAGTACACAGATGTTCACTTCAAGAACCAATTACAGGTAGGAAACTTTGTTTGTTTGAGGCCCCTGAGGTCAAACTCCAATTGCTACTTCCCATTATGGCAGATAAGGCAGCAACATTTTTTTTAATTTACCATCTGCATAAAATGTGAATATTCAGTAGACCCTTCAGAAGAGATTGATTTAGACGCTTAAAACAAGCATTAGAATTTAAACATTTTGCTGATTTTTAAAAAAGGAAATATTAATATCTGTTGGCTGCTGAAACATGGAAATCATACTGTAAATCATACTGCATAACTGACAACACTGTCCTTTGATGCTCTAGGGCAGGGGTGAGAACTGTGGGGGGTTGCAGACTGCCAGAAATAGTGCAAATTGAGTCCACTTTTAGGGTTAGGGTTACTGCTAGGGAATCATGGGAACTGTTTTTTTCCTGAGACATTGAGCCTTCTCTGTCAGAGAGCTCTGGTGCCACAATAAAATACAGTTCC